GAGTGGAGGAGGTCGGCAAGTTAGCAGGGGGTGGGGTAGGCTTCCCTGAAGAGATGGGTTTTCAGGGTGCAGCTAAAGGAGAGGAGAGTAGGTGATAATCTGATGGGTTAGGGCAGGGAGTTCCAGAGGATGGGTGACACCCTGGAGAAGTCCTGGAGGCAGGCATGGGAGGAGGAGACCAGGGAACTAGAGAGGAGGTCTTGTGAGGAGCGGAGTGTGCGTGTTGGGCGGGGCGGTACTTGGATATTAGGTCAGTGATGTAGTTCGGGGCAGTGTGGTGGACGGCTTTGTACGTCAGAGTTAGGATTTTGAATTTGATCCATTGCGCAATTGGAAGCCAGTGGAGGGATTGGCAGAGGGGGGTGGCGGAGATGGAGCGGTTGTAAAGGTGAATGAGTCTGGCAGCCGTATTCAGGATCGACTGAAGCGGAGATAGCCAGCGGCGAGGCAGGCCAGTGAGGAGGGAGTTGCAGTAGTCGAGTCGTGATATGATGAGGGAGTGGATGAGCTGTTTAGTGGTTTCTGGGGTTAGGAACGTGCGGATTTTGGCGATGTTGCGGAGGTGGAGTCTGCATGAGTTTGTTAAAGATTGGACTTGGGGCTGGAAGGATAGGTTGGAGTCCAGAATGACACTAAGTACTCTGGCCTATCATCAAGTCACATTTCACATTTTAAAACCAAATGATCTTAGAAGATGATATCAGCATGTGCTTACATTCAACTAGCAGTAAGATGCACAATAAGTGTATAGGATCAACGCGTTTCGCTGCATTTGCTTCCTCAGGATCCATGCTTTAGATGAACCGCAAGTATCGACTGCAAGTATATCAAAGGGTTGGACCTGTGGTCTCCAAACTGTGGCCCGGGACAAGACACGGCCCTTTGCTTTTATCTGGCCCTTGGGGCACTATTTTTCTCCAGTGATAGCAACAATGGGGCATGATTCCTGCTTCTGACACCAATGAAGGGGCAGAATAGCTCCCAATGACAGGTTACAATTCCTCCCAATGAGACACAATTTTTTTCAGACACCAACAATAGGGCCCAATGATGGAGCTCTATTCCTCTCACTGACACCAAAGATGGGACATTGTTTATTCCATGTAAGTCATGACCTTTTCTACTCTCAATAGTCCAGCCCTTCTTATGTTTGAGGGGCAGCAAACTGGCCCTTTGTTTAGAAAGTTTGGAGACCCCTGGGTTGGACTTTAGTAAGCAGTGCTTAGTTGTATAATGCGAGGGTCATAAGCCCTCCTTGGGATGTTCCTAATGATGATTAGAAAGATAATAATGTGTACTCCTAATGTCTTTGGAAGTCTGGAAAAAAAAAAATATGGCTCATCAACAGCTCCAAGCTCAAACGGCCAAACCCAGCTTCCACCATACAGCTGAATATACCATGCTTTCCACTTGCTAGGTAATCACAAAAGGACCAGCCACCAGGCCTCAACACTGACCAGAGACTGCCAGCATGTCTATCCAAATAGACTCAACCCTTCGCTGAGACCAAAAAAAAAAAAAAAATGTAACTATTGATAAAATGGCATTCAATAAGACATACTCTAAGGCTTGCAAAGGCGTATTCCCTGTCCTGTATGGTGGCACCTTATTCAGTAAGGGATATATATGTTCCAGATGTGTTCTGCAAGGCAGGTTTATTTATTCAGTTTCAGAGAACAAGATATAGGCTGATGCCTGCTGACTCGGGATTTCAAGGGTTAAACGTGTCGTTGAGCCCTCTTAATGGGTCCAATGTGTGGAGGAAGAAATTTGTGATGGATTATTATGTTTTCAGATACCTGAATCCATTGTGTATTTGGAGAAAGGTCTGGACCCTCCCTGGCACTCAGGCAAGAACTGCATTGTTTTTCTTAACCGGTTCCAGAGCTGCAGTATAGAATTACATGGAGCGCGGTTCATTGTAGATGGTGCGGGGGTCACGTCTGACGTACAGTTGGCTCAAGTTGTACGGGTTTGTAGGTTGTGTAGGTGTCATCATTAATCCTAATGCATCTAAGCGTGTTGCAAAGTTTCTATAAATAATTGGCATTTAAAAAAGCCAAAGCAACCTAAATGATCAGTAGATCCAGAAATATTGAAAACTAAATTTAAAGCAAAGCTTCAGGCTCCCCCCAAAGGATTAAAAGTCAGCAGCTACAAATACTGTAGCTGCAGACTTTTAATATAAGGACACTTACCTGTCCAGGGATCCAGCGATGTCCTCACCCGAGCCGATTCTTCAGTCAACTTTGGGTGCAGGTAGCCTTGCGGCTTCACTTCCGGTTTCCCTTACTGAAGATGCCGGCATTTGCACCCGAAGCCAATTCACTTCACTTCCGGTTTCCCTTACTGAAGATGCTGGCACCTGGACCCATAGCCAATTCACTTCACTTCCAGTTTCCCTTATTGAAGATGCCGTCACTTGCACCCAAAGCCAACTCACTTCACTTCCGGTTTCCCTTACTGAACATGCTGTCACTTGCACCCGAAGCCAATTCACTTTACTTCCGGTTTCCCTTGCTGAAGATGCCGGCACCTGGACCTGAAGCCAATTCACTTCACTTCCAGTTTCACTTACTGAAGATGCCGGCACTTGCACCCGAAGCCAATTCACTTCACTTCCAGGTTCCCTTACTGAAGATGCCGTCACTTGCACCAGCAGCCAACACATTTCACTTCACTTCCGGCTTCCCTTACTGAAGATGCCGGCACTTGCACCTTCACAGCTAGTCTCCTACTGCACATGCTCTTTGAGAATGGTCCTGCAGTCTTCTGGGATCCGTGAAGTGTCCCAGAAGGCTGCAGGGGAAGGAGGGCTGAACCTCTGGCTCAGAATGCTGCGGCGCATCTGAGTGGAAGTGGGTACCTGTCAAAACCAGGTACCCACTGCCCCTCCCCCCCAAAAAAGAGACCAGATATAGTGAATGCAGGGTCCGGGGAGACCAGATATAGTGAATGCAGGGTCCTGGGTTTAGTAACACTAAAAGTTCATTTATAAAAACATGTTTTTTACCTGCTCTGTGTAATGTTTTTGCACAGACTAGCCCTGATCCTCCTTTCTTGGGTACCCAGCCGGTGCTCCTGGCTCCTCCCCCACGATCAATGCCCTCAATAGCAAGCCGCTTGCTATGGGGGCACTGGTGCATGCTCGCTCCCAAGCCCCGCTCTGTGTGTCCATAAAATACAGAGCTGCGGTTTGACCCTGCCTCTCACTCTCTCCTCACTGGCTCACTGGCTGTGATTAACAAAGGCTTTCACTTCTGTCTCGGCCACTGAGGGGAGAGAGACTCGGGACAGCTGAGTTCCCCCCCCCCCCCCCCCCGTTCACGTTGGCAGATCGAGATGGGGCTTAGGCGAGTATAAGGGGTCTCTGGGGGGGAGCTGCACACTGAAGGTTTTTATATATATGGGCAGCACAGTGGCTAAAATGTTAGCACTTCCACCTGGAAGTACTAGGGTTGTTGATTTGAATCCCAGCCATGGCACCACCTGCCTGGAGTTTGCATGTTCTCCCTGTGCCTGTGTGGGTTTCCTCCAGGTACTCCGCTTTCCTCCCCCACACTCCAAAGACATGCTGGTAGGTGAATTGGATCCTGTCTAAATTGTCCCTAGTATGTGTATGTATGAATGTGAGTTAGGGACCTTAGATTGTACACCCCTTGAGGGTTAGGGACTGATATGAATGTACAATATATATGTAATGCGCTGCGTAAATTGATGGTGCTATATAAGTACCTGAAATAAATAATAAATATCCATGCATGACGGTGAAAGAAACCTTCAGCCTTTACAACCACTTTAATTTAAGTTTTGCACCGTTTCTGGTTTACTGGCACAGTCTGTACTTGGAGAACACAAACCCTTGGGGTGGTCCCACAAAGCGGGATTCAGAGATCCAAGCTGGCCATCATGATGGGACATTTCTGAGAATCCTCCGCTCGCTGAAATTCTGTAAGATGATTCCGCTGCAGAAAGCGGCACACCGCTCACTCCTTGGGGGGGGGATGGGGTGAGCTGCAAGCGACTCCGGTGCAGACACAGCAAGATTTTCAGACTCTTCCCTGGACTGTGCTCTCTGTTCTGTCATTCATTGTTCAGGGATGATGTACCATTCCAGAGGAAACGGCCTGTATTAATCATTCATTTTAATTGGAGATATTTGAGGACCACATTAGCCGTGACTTTCTCTCTGACCAATGGAAAGGGTTTTTTTTTTTTTTATAACCAAAGCATTTTTGGCTTACATAAAGAAGCTGTTAAAGGGACATCATAGCTCTTCTTTTTTTTTTTTTCCTATTTTGTTTTCCTTTTTTTTCTTTTCTTTTTTCTTCTTCTCTCAGGGCCTGCCCATGCTTCTACAACATAAAAATGTGTGTATTTTCACTTTTTTTTTTCTTTAAAACACACTTTATAAATGAAATGCCCAAGGATGCAGCTTAATGTGCTCATAAAAATGTCTGTGTTTTTAATATACAGCAATGTGAATGGCCTTTGGGGTCGCCGGCTGTCAGCAGACCCTCGATCACCTCTGCTGCTGCATAGACCTGCACTGGCATGCACAGACCCACAACACGCAGGCAGCCTGTGCTGGTGATCCAAGGTCTGATGTTTGAAACCATGGAACTGTGGAATTTCACACCGTATTTACCTTTACTTTAGGCTTGGTGCACACCTATGCTTTTTATGTTTTTTTTATTATTATTATTATACAGGATTTATATAGCGCCAACAGTTTGCGCAGCGCTTTACAAAATGAAGGTAGACATTACAGTTACAATACAACTTGGTACAAGAGGAAACAGAGGGCCCGGCTTGTTAGAGCTTACAATCTAGGAGGCATTGTGCTTTGTTTTTTTACATTCACGTTTTTACGTGCAAATGGGTCCTTGTAGTCAGGGGCGGACTGACAGCTCATGGGGCCCCGGGCAATAGGGGATCATGGGGCCCCTGTGTCCTTGCCCAAACTCAAAAAAAGCCTATGAAAAAGGTACCAGGGGCATCTCATGGGGCCCCCTACTGACCCTGGGCCCTCAGGCAGTGCCTGAGTTTCCAAATGGTCAGTCCGCCCCTGCTTGTAGTCAATCTCCATGAATGGATGATACACCTGTGCAGCCAGAGCCACACGCACCTGCAGCAGAACCAGATTCATGTAAGTGGGTGGGGGGGGGGCAACGGAATGGGATTAGGTTTTCATGTTGCACCCCAAGTTGAGCTTAGCCTTTGGCCCTGGTTCACACTGACACATCGCATGTGATTCGAACAGCAACCACACCGCATTCCTGTGCAAAGCACATGTAGTTCTGTGCGGTGCAGTGTGAGCCATACATTTTGTATGGCTCAGATCGTACTGCAGGCACCTTTTTTATGCCACACTGGAATCGGATCACAGGGGTGTTCATAGCTATGAGATCTGATTTAGGCAAACGCATTGCATTCTGCGTCCTGCTTTTGGGGTGTCATTAACCTTCAATTGACAACCGCAGCAGATCGCATTAACACACCACTAGCTCCTCCCTCTTAGATTGTAAGCTTCCAGGATCAGGCCCTCCTATCCCTCTTGTATTGAACTGCATTCATGCTGTATTGTCTCCCTTTATATTGTAAAGCGCTGAGCAAACTGTTGGAGCCATATAAATCCTGTATAATAATAATAACAGTGTGATTGCTATGTGCTGCAATGCATACATGTATCATGATAAATGCATAGCACCATGTTTGGACTCTATCCTTACTCAGGATGTCCAGGAAATCAGCCCCTGAAGCTGTTGGTTACTATAAAAAAGTAAAAAAGAATAGCGTAAAAATAGAATAGAAAATAAAAAGAATGGAATAGAAAAAAAAAATAGAATATAGCCATCTTATAAAATTTTTATTTCAAAGTATGAAGTTTTCTGGTCTGCTGGGAGCATTGCCTGCCTGTCCTCCAATGGCCAGGCTTCTGTGCTCCCTCCCCTGCACAGCCGTGGACTGGGAAGATCAGTGTGCTGCTGTTTCATCAACCCAGGCTCTCTAAACCCTTTATGCAGCTGAGAGCAGAGATTATGTGGTCACTTAAAAAAGGGCATTTAGAACATGTTTTTATATACAGTATAACACAATGTTTGCCTTTCACTTCTGCTTTAAACTGAACGGGTTGTTTTACAAGGTGAGGGTTCACATACTGTATACTTTAACTAGAGGGCTCTGTAATTTGATACTGTTAGGAAAACTCAGGGGTTGGGAAACAGTGTACAATGTCAGGCAGTTTCCAGGGCTGCAATTGTCAGACTACAGATGACCTCTGACATTCAGACTGCCTTTGCAGTGGCAGTTCCCTTAGTTCTATCCTTGGCCTTTGCCGTGACAGTTCATTATAGGTCTTTCCTGGCCTTTGCAGTGGCAGTTCCCTTAATTCTATTATTGGCCTTTGCCGTGGCAGTTCCCTTAGGGAACTGCCACGGCAAAGGCAATGAATAAAACTAAGGGAACTGCCACGACAAAGGCCAGGAAAGAACTAAGGGAACTGCCACGGCAAAGGCCATGGATAAAACTAAGGGAACTGCCACGGCAAAGGCCATGGATAAAACTAAGGGAACTGCCACGGCAAAGGCATGAATAAAACTTAGTTTTATCCATGGGCAAAGGCCGTGGCAGTTCCCTTAGTTCTTTCCTGGCCTTTGCCATGGGAGTTCCCTTAGTTCTTTCCTGGCCTTTGCCTGCCACGGCAGTTCCCTTAGTTTTTTATTCACTGCCTTTGCCGTGGCAGTTCCCTTAGTTCTATCCTGGCCTTTGCCGTGGCAGTTCCCTTAGTTTTATTCATGGCCTTTGCTGTGGCAGTTCCCTTAATTCTATCCATGGCCTTTGCCGTGGCACTTCCCTTAGTTCTTTCCTGGCGTATGCAGTGGCAGTTCCCTTAATTCTATCCATGGCCTTTGCCATGGCAGTTCCCTTAGTTCTTTCCTGGCCTTTGCAGTGGCAGTTCCCTTAATTCTATCCATGGCCTTTGCAGTGGCAGTTCCCTTAGTTCTATCCATGGCCTTTGCAGTGGCAGTTCCCTTAGTTCTATCCATGGCCTTTGCAGTGGCAGTTCCCTTAGTTCTATCCATGGCCTTTGCAGTGGCAGTTCCCTTAGTTCTATCCATGGCCTTTGCAGTGGCAGTTCCCTTAGTTCTATCCATGGCTTTTGCCGTGGCAGTTCCCTAGTTCTAGCCTGGCCTTTGCCGTGGCAGCTCCCACAGTTCCCATCCTGGCCTCTGCCGTGGCAGCTCCCACAATTCCATCCTGGCTTCTGCCGTGGCAGTTTTCAAGGTTCCATCCTGGCCTTTGTAATGGCAGTTTTCAAGGTTGCATCCTGGCCTTTGTAATGGCAGTTTTCAAGGTTGCATCCTGGCCTTTGCAGTGGCAGTTTTCACAGTTCTTTTCTGCCCTTTGCAGTGGCAGTTCCTATAGTTCTATCCTGACTGATTACTTTTATGATAAACACAGAAAAATTCTTTACACTTGCAAAAAAAAAAAAAATCACAGGACACGAGCTCCAGAAAAAAAAACATCATTTATACATGTATGTACATATACAAGGAACGCAAGTTCTAAACATAAGTATCACGGAGGAAAACTCCCATTATAACCCTTTTGCTGCCACCAGTGACCCACACCACCGCAAAAGCCTAACAGAGCTTCGTCGCAGCAATAGGTTCAGTATAAAAACAATAAAATATACTTTAATTTTTTTTTATTATAGAAAAAATCCTCATTAAACATGCTTTTATCATGAAATGGCATGGTTCATGACAGGCAGAATGATCCAGAGAAGCTTGCCAGGTTAGCATTGAAACGCCTGTCACAGACGCGTATGGGTTTAGTCAGCGAGGCCGCGCGAACGGCTCCGACTGGTGCCGAAGAATCGGCAGTGACTCATCAACTCTTCGTCTGATTCTGATTGTCTGTCGGGTTTTCCTGCCAAGTTATGGAAAGCCGTGCCAGAACGTTCCTCCGTGCAGAAAGTTCACACTTGAGCCAGTATAGTTAGTTGGTTATTAAAGCCAAACTCCAGCCAAAAGTTATTTAGATGGCGTAGGAAAGGGTTAGAAACTCTGTCAAGTTTTAAATGCTATCCGAGATTAAAGTGTATGTACAGCCAAAACTTTTTTTTTAAATTTTGGATAGAGTAGGGAAGGACTAGAACTTCTATCAGGCTAACTGTTGCTGTCTGTGTCCTGTTGGGAAGGTTCCCCTTCATTTATGGTCCTGGAGGTGCAAAAGAAAATAAGAGGAAATTTCTGCAAAGTGAGGGGAATTCCCACCTTAAAGTAGGTCTTCACCCTTTAAATGAACTTGCCTCCTTTCCATTCTGAGTTTTATAGAACATTTGTTTGGCTCATTACATGAAAGGGAGGTTAATAATATAACTTAGATGACAAAATCTTCAGTTTTACTCAAATTAGTTGATGCAAAAATGAATACACCCCACAAAAAAAAGCTACTCCATCTAGTATTTTGTATGACCTCCATGATTGGTAAGGACGGCACCAAGTCTTCTAGGCATGGAACGAACAAGTAGGTGACATATTGCAACATCGATCTTTTTCCATTCTTCAAGAACTACCTCTTTTAGAGCCTGGATGCTGGATGGAGAGTGATGCTCAACTTGTCTCTTCAGAATTCCCCATAGGTGTTGGATTGGGTTCAGGGCAGGAGACATTTTGGCCAATGAATCACTTTCACCCTGTTCTTCTTCAGAAATGCAACAGTGGCCTTAGATGTGTATTTTGCATCATTCTCATGTTGGAAAAGTGCATGACAGCCAAGGGCACAGAGTGATGGCAGCATCTTCTCTTTCAATATAAAGCAGCGTATCTGTGAATTCACGATACCATCAATGATAGGCATCTCCCCAACACCAGCAGCACTTACGCAGCACCACAGAAGGACACTACCACCACCATGTTTCACAGTAGGCACCATGCATTTTTCTTTTCACTCCTCACCTTTGCAACATCATACAGTTTTGAAGCCATCAGTTTCAAAAACATTTATCTTGGTCTTATCACTCCAGAGTACAGAGTCCCAGTAGTTCTTTTTCATCATGGGCCCTGGCAAATTCTAGGTGGGCTCTTTTGTGCTTTAGTTGACTTCCTCCATGGACAACACCCATGCATGCCATTCCTCTGCAGTGTAGATCATATTGTGTCAAGGGAAACAATCACCCCAGTTTGGCTTTCTACTTCTTTAGCTAACTGCAGTGAACTTGCATGGTGATTTTCTTCAACCCTTCTCATCAGAAGATGCTTCTGTCGATGAGTTAACTTCTGTGGATGGCCTGGAGGTCTCTGTGACATGGTTGCAATTCCATCTTTGTTAAATTTTTGTATCACTTTTGCTACAGTATTCTGACTGATAAGTAAAGCTTTGCTGATTTTCTTGCAACCTTCACCTTTCTTGTGTAAAGAAGTTATTTTCTTTCTCAGGCCTTGTGACATTTCTCTTCCATATGGAGGCATTACTGACAGCATGAAATGGGAGGGATTTTCTTTGGTAACACCTTTTATAATCAGCTGTTTTCTGGACACTTGTTTAACAAGACTTCAACTACAGGTGAGTCTAATTATTCATTAATTAGAATTTTGTCATCTAAAATTTAGCTTTGCTCCTAAGAATTTTATCGGGGTGTATTTATTCTTGCAACATGGTCTTGGATAAATTTGTTAGGAAACACACTTTTGTGTGTGCACATTAACAAGTCTTGTTTGCAGTCAATGGCCTGCATTTGTGGGAGTATTTTGTAGTATAGTGTCCCATAGAAAATATAGATTCTGAAAGGAAAATGAAAGGTTTTCTGACACAGCTGTTGGAGTATACTAATTTATACTGGAGGTGTGGGTGGGGGTAGGTTGCTTTGCAGGGAAAGAAAATCTAGCAGATCGCCACTGACTGAACACCGCTCTGCCTTTTTTTTTTTTTTTTTTTTTTTTTTAACATAGGCAGAGCTGCATTCTGTCAGTCTCCGCGGTAATCAATGTGCGCCAGCACTCATCCATTGGCAGGCCCCTATTGGTCAGCTTCTGCTGTGTCCAATGATAGCAGACAATGCTCAGGTGGCAGATGCATACCCGCTGCAATAGATACAAAATCACATTTACATACATGATTTTGCACAGAACATCCACCCTG